CTTACGGTGCTGCTGCTTTGGCACGCGGCCGGTCCGGAGCGGGGGCGCCCGCGAAGCCGCCCGCGCGGGCGCTTGCGGCGGCCGTGGTGGTAAGTGGAGAAGAGGGCGAGGTCGTGGCGCGTGGCGTTGTGGGAGGCGAGGTAGGCGGCCAGCAGCAGGAGGCGGGCCGTCGTGGGGAGGAGCGAGGCGAGGTCGGGCGTGGTCTGCTGGGTCGGCACCGCCTTGGCTGTGGTTCTTGTTGGTGTCTGGCCCTTGCTGGGTGTCGCCGTCGTGGTGCCTGTCGTGGTGCCTGTCGTGCTGCTGCTTGCGTTGGCGGTTGGCCTGAGGGCGATGATGCTCGGGTTCAGGAGAGATTCGTCTTGCAGGTGGACACGGGCGTGGATGAGGAGCTTGGAGAACTCGCGGGCGCCGTGGGTTCCGGCGGCGACGGGTGCCGTGAAACGCGGCCAGAGAATGTCGCAGGCGCGGCGCAGGGCAGGCAGGGTTCGAGAGGCGGAGACGGCCAGGGCGTCATGGACGGCGGCGCAAAACCGGGGCCAGAGGAATTTCATGTCGTCCTCGGTCGTGTTGGGTACCGGCGCGGGTATGGAGGGGGCCATGATCTTGACATAGTCGGGTTTGGAATAGTTGGGAAAGTGTATGTGCGACACAAAGGAGGTTCGCAGGAAGCCCGCTTGGGGCGTTGTCAGGATGAAGACACAGGTCAGCGAGGGGATCTGTAGAAGGGTCTTGGATCAGCTTTGAGTTTCTCGGGGCTCTCGCTGGAGAGTCAAGGACAGACCAGCTCGGGCAGCCGTGCCAGGGCAGGCAGCAGGGTGTGCGGCGCCTCTCTTTGTCGGTCGACCGAGTCGAAGACGAGGACGAAGCGCGAATGTGGTGGTTGGGATTCGGCGCCCTTCAGCATCTTGGAGAGCTCAACGGCGAGTTGGGCTGTGGTTTCGCAGGCTCTGGGCCGCGTATGCCATCCGATGGCGTCGACAACGGCATTGAGTGTTCTTTCGAAGAGGTGCCTCGCCGTGATGCATTGTATAGAGTTCATGATGGCGTAGTTGTCGCCGATGCTGCGCCGGTCGCTGCCAGCGTGGGGCGAGGCCAATTGACGCAGCAGCGCTTCGACAATGGCCGACTTGCCCGTAGCCTCTGTTCCGTGGAGGACGATGTTGCGACATGGTGCGGTACTGGACTAGGCGCAATGGTCAGCGGTCGGGACTGCCATGTGATTTTGGAAGGGTGGGAGTAGAGGCGACATACAGCAAGGAGGTTTGTGAGGGATCGGATCTGGGGTTCTCGGCAGGGAAAGGCATCCAGTAGGGAGGAGAGAATGGTGTCGTCGGGAGGCTGGAAGAGAGGATGCATGGCGGGTTGTGACGGCGTGTGTGTGTGTGCGTGTGTGTGTGTGTGTGCGTGTGTGTGTGTGTGTGTGTGTGTGCGTGTCGTATGGGCTGCCCGACATGGAAATGATCGCGATGCAGCAACTCGAGGCGCGTCTATCTGGGATCGCCAGCGAGTGGGGGGACCAGAGCCTGAACGCGAAGTCAAGTGACTGCGGCACCAGGTACAGGTACACCTGGGCATGGGTACCTACCTGCACCTAAGGTACCTAAGGTAGGTAGGTACCTTGGGCAATACCTTCAGGGTTAGGGTTGACAGGCCACTGCTGTGCCGTACCGACGTCGCATATCCATGACGCGTGGTTATGCCCGGTCTTGGCCCTCAACCCTCGAACGGCAGATGCCATCCAATGACAACTTCTGTGGCTCTCTGTAGTCTCGTCGTCGAAGACGCAAGCACCCTGCCAGGCACCAGTGAGTGCCTCCTCGTCATCCCCCATGAAGCCCAACAGTAGGCCGTGTTAAATCAAGCCCGCCTCAAAGCCAGCCGAAGGGACCTAGCACGCCGTGGTGCGTGTGGACCAGCCGAAGGATTCGGCGCCTGTCCCCTTCCGCTTGACTGCCTGCCTCTGGCTTGGCTGAGAGACCGTCAACAGTCATCGTCGAACTGTCTGCTATCTATCCATCTGGCGACGAAAATCGTAGCTCGGAACCAATACTCTATTCCTCTACCATACTCTGCTGCCTTCCTTTTGAGTGTTGGCTGCGCCAGGCTCACACGTCACGCAGGCAGCCCCCCCATCTCGCTCCTCTTCGTACCTACCCAAGGTACCTTCGTAGTGAACAGACATCATGAGTACCTCACCCGACTCAGATCCGGATCCCCCCGCCCTGCTGGCCTCGGACGGCACGGCCAAACCGTATCACTCCAAAAGGCCACACAAAAAGACACGGTCCGGCTGCAAGACGTGCAAGGCGCGCAAGGTCAAATGCGACGAGGGCCGCCCGGCATGCCGCAACTGCGTCCTGCGCAAGGTCGACTGCCTCTATCCCGTCACCGCCGCGTCCGCCAAGTCGGCCACTCTCAAGCGCACCATCACGCCTCGCACCCCCACCTCGGAGCCATCGACGTCCATAGTGGCCAGTCCCGAGACGAGCCGCCGCCCGTGGGAGCCGAGTCCCATCATCGAGCCCTTGTACATACCGCCGGGTCAGCATGATGCCCTCGACATGAAGCTGCTCTGGTTCTACACCACCAACACCTTCAACTCCTTTCTCACGCCCAGGGACAAGGGCGAGCGCGTCAACGAGATTCTCCGCGTCAAGATTCCCTCCTACGCCTTTGAGAACCGTTTTCTCATGGACTGCCTGCTCGGCCTGTCTGCCCTTCAGCTGGAGAACCTCAACCAGGAGGTCGACCCGTCGCGCGCCCTCTACTATCGCTCGTGCGCCTTTGAAGGCTACCGCAAAGCCATCGAAAAGGCCGACGTCGAAACGTTCCCCGCCCTCATCGCCTGCTCTCTCCTGCTCGTCGCTCTGTCGTCCCAGATGTTCCGCGAGGTCACGACCAAGCGCCTGCACATACTCGACTGGATGGTCGTCTGGCGCGGCATCGGTCTCATGATCCGGCTCGCGAGCCCCCGCAAGCTCTGGGAGGCCGGCCTCGCCGAGCTCTTCTTCCGCCCGCCCATCGACCTCAACTCGTCGTCGCTGCACATCCCCAACAACCTGCTCTTCATGGTCTCCACCATCCGCGACGACGACCCCGACCACGCCCACGTCGACACCTACTACCACTGCCTGCAGTACCTCGGCTCCCTATACCAGGAGCTGCGCCAGGGCCTCAGCTCCATCCTCAACATCCGCGCCATGACCTGGTTCACCTTTGTGCCCCCCGACTTTGTCGAGCTCGCCAAGCTGCGCCGCCCGCGCGCCCTCGTCATCATTGCCCACTACGCCATGTTTGTCAAGGGCGTCGACACCATCTGGGGGCTGCGCGGCGTCGGCGACACGAGCATTCCGCGACATCCTCCGAGCACCTCGACCACGACGACTTTGACGGAC